AACAACCCATAGAGATTATCAGATTAATAATGCAGCACAGCTATTCTGGACCCACAATCAACCCTAGTTCACTAAGTTGTACGAAGTATATTGAACCTGAACCTTATTTTCTTAAAAAAAAAAATAATGAAATAAAAACTAGTTGTGTATTGAACCTGAACCTTGAAAAATAAAAAAAAAATAAAAAAAACTTGGACCTCACTAAATAATTACCCATTCACCCGACATTGACCCGGCAATCCTAACCCGATCCATGACCCGAAATTAACCCAAAAATGTTAACCCGAAATTGATCTTATACCCAAATTAACTCGATACCCAAAGCGACCCGAAACCCAAAGTGACGCAACCCGATCTTAACCCTACAGACTCAAAACACAAAACAACCAGAAATGACCTGACCCATAATTAACATCTTTGTGTGAGAATAACAAGACTCATTTTCCTCTACACTCTGATTCTCTAAGCTTGTACTTCGTAATATTTATTTTATCTCTCTATATTCATAAGATTTATACTTTTATGATATCTCCCATTTCATCACTCTCTAAATACATACGGTGGAAAATATTTTCCTTTAGAAAATAATGGAAATCTTATTTTCTTCCCTCCTTTTACTTCTCTCTTATTAATCCTCACATTACTATTCCTACTTTTAAGAAGGGAAAAAGTAACACGGAGTAACAACATTTAATTACATGAGTCAAAATATGTCAACTATAAGCAATAGTTTTACAGTATTAAACAACATAGTCAATAACAGACAATCTAACAAACTTGGTTCCCAATGATTCAGCAACATTCGAAGCATACTTCAAATCTTCCACACTAGTCAGCATCATCCACGCTTTATCTTCATCTTGATAAAACAATCTATATTTGTTCAAAGCAAGTTGGAACTTCATGCCTGTTTCTTCAATTAGTTGATTAATCGGTAAAGTCAAAGAGAATACAATTCTCACTGAATGCTCCTTGTAAGTGGCTTTTACAACAATAGTGCCTGAACTTTCAGTTGTATGAAGAGCGCCTTCTAGATGCCCTTGGACTTGTTGCTGGATATCCATATGGCTTCCAATTACCATTGGGTCGAAAGTTTCTTCTAGTGTTGCAGCGCGATTACTTTCAGTTGAATGAAGAGCACCCTCCAAATGCCCTTGAGCTTGTTGATGGGTATCCATATGGCTTTCAATTACCATTGGATCGAAAGTTTCTTCTAGTGTCGCAGCGCGATTACATTCAGTTGAATGAAGAGCGCCCTCCAAATGCCCTTGGTCATTTGCACCATCCAGATAATGCTCTTCGCCATGCTGACAATCCATATTGCCTTGAGTATCCATTAAGTTCCCTCTAACGTTTTCCACTATTGTGTCCGGGGCCAAGTTGCCAACAACATCAGAGTTGGATGATACATGATTTGGCAACGTAAGCTGGTTTGCTCCTATTATACGGCCCCCAACAATTTTCGCTTGAGCTGTTGAATTAGTAGGAATCACCAAATTCTGCTGTGTGGAATCACTACCAAATGGTGCTTTACTATTATGTTTCCTCTTCTTTGCATCATCAAGATGTTGCTTTCCTTTTTTGCTTGATGGCCACAACAGCTTCAATTCTTTCAATCTTCGCTTCATTGTAGACCTCGAGACTGCATATTGTGGTCAAGTATGATAAAGAAGCTCAAGCAGTTAATTTTTTATGGTAATCATCGGGATGACAGGATGTCTATCTCAGTCTTAATGATAAATTAATTTTCAAAAACCATCCTTATAAAGTCATAACCACAAATTTAGTTATGGACCATTAACATTAATTAGGGAATATAGGTAAACAAATATTTTCACGAGTATAATGTGACCACACTATTTAAAAAGTTCAAAGAGACAATTAACATCAATGAAGACAATTAAGTAAGCAAACATATATATAATTAGAGGTTCGCACATTGTTAATAAGAGTTTGCTTGAAATTTTTAAAAGGCAGGGATCAAAATTTCACATAATGAACATCTAAAAATTTATCACAAAGTTCTTGTTCCATCACAAAAAATAAAAATATTCATGTACTGGTATTATTCAGTAGAGCAGTAAAGTTATTGAGTTACATCACGACAATTTTTTGTTCATAACAGACAAACATCTCTACAATACTTAGGTCAACTTTGGAGTGTTACACTTAAATCACTCAAATAAATGGAAGCACATTATTAAACAACATAGTCAATAACAGACAATCTAACAAACTTGGTTCCCAATGATTCAGCAACATTCGAAGCATACTTCAAATCTTCCACACTAGTCAGCATCATCCACTCTTTATCTTCATCTTGATAAAGCAATCTATATTTGTTCAACTCAAGTTGGAACTTCATGCCTATTTCTTCAATTAGTTGATTAATCGGTAAAGTCAAAGAGAAAACAATTCTCACTGAAAGCTCCTTGTAAGTGGCTTTTACAACAATTGTGCCTGAACTTTCAGTTGTATGAAGAGCGCCTTCCAGATGCCCTTGGACTTGTTGCTGGATATCCATATGGCTTTCAATTAAGGGCTCTTCCAAATGCAGGTCTGATCCCATTATACACTGCACATTTTCCGTGTGAGCTGCTGAACTACCTAGGTTCACCACATTCTGTTGTGAGCAATAACTTTCAAATGGTGCTGTATTGTTTGTTTTCCTCTTCTTTGCATCAGGCTGTTGTTTTCTTCCTTTTCTTGGCCACTTCTCGACACCCAATTCTTTTATTGTTCGTTTCAATGTAGACCTCGATACTGCAAATTGAAGTCAAGTATGATTAATCATTTAGAAAAGCCAAGTATGATACTGCAAATTGAAGTCAAGTATGATAAAGAAGCTCAAGCAGTTAATTTTTTTATGGAAATCATCGGGATGACAGGATGTCTATCTCAGTCTTAATGATAAATTAATTTTCAAAAACCATCCTTATAAAAGTCATAACCACAAATTTAGTTATGGACCATTAACATTAATTAGGGAATATAGGTAAACAAATATTTTCACGAGTATAAATGTGACCACACTATTTATAAAAGTTCAAAGAGACAATTAACATCAATGAAGACAATTAAGTAAGCAAACATATATAATTAGAGGTTCGCACATTGTAAATAAGAGTTTGCTTGAAATTATTAAAAGGCAGGGATCAAAATTTCACATGAACATCTAAATTTGCTTAGTTTCCATTTTTCCAAAAAAAAAAAAAAATTGTGTAGTGTCCATGATGTAAATTTATGTTACTCCGCACATGGCACAACATTACTCAATGTTTTAATAGTTTTGCTCTAGGAAAAAGTTCTCAATTGAAGTTTTGCATTGAATACAGCATTATTATTCCTTTTGAAATATCAGTGGCATCAATAGAAATTAAAACTTCAATGAATAAACAGATTTTGGCAAGAGTATGTAAATGCAGGTCTCAGATAATTAACAATTCTAATACAAACAAAATGCGATCATGATACCTCCAAATATTTTTTCTGCAGTTTCTTGTAGTGACATCGGGTTTTCGGACCAACATTGTTGTAGCTTCTCTTCAGATATTTCAATTCTACTATTTCTCTCCACCTTATTGTGTTGAGGGACCTGTTTCTGCCCATTTTCTAAATCATGATGACTCTCACATTATCTTGCTCAATACCACCTTGTGCTGTTGTTATGTGCTCAATAGAGCCCATACTTATACTGTTGAAAGGATCTGCTGATGTCTGCTCATCAGGGACAGTTTCATGAATTTCTACTGTTGGCATTTTGATACGAGAGTTATTCATATGTGTGAAGTATGCATCATCCGTGTCATCAATGATGATAAAAAAAATGCAAGTTATGACATATGAATTACTGGCAACATTTAATTACCTCTAGGAACAACAGTTACTTCATCTTCGCTTTCATCGGAGGCTGAGGCTTGGTAAAGGGAAGCATCATAGGCGTTGCTCTTGTAGTATGCTTCTTCTGTGTCATCGATGATGGACACTTGCTTCAGATTCCTTGGCAATCTTTCAAAGTTAAAACACTTGGGGAGGATTAAGTGTAGTAGATTGCGCAGCTTCACAAAACTAGGAGGAAGGGTCTTGATTCTGGTGACGCTGATATCAAGAGTATGCAAATTGACTAACTCATGTAGATTTGATGGTAGTTTTTCGAGGCTGATACAGTCTTTGAGTTGTAATTCTTGCAAGTTGTGGAGTCTTGCTATATCTTCAGGAAAGAACTCCATTTTAGAACATGTAATGGAGAGTGTCTCCAGGTTGACTAATTTATTCCAACATTTTTCAAAGATACATCTCAGGTCATTATAATCTTTGAAAAACAAAATTTCCAGGTGATGTAGGCCAATAGGAAGTGAGTCAAGTGACTCGAAGGAGCAATCCACAAGCCTGAGTTTGTGAATATACATACATGGTGGCAATGACTCGCAATAATCACAGGAATTGAGATCCAGACTCCTTAAGTTAGTTAACTTTTCCAAGCTATCATAAAGTGGCCTCATATTGCAAGATGATAAGAGAGATGTTTGAGGCTGACAGGCATATTAAAATTTTCCAAGCTATCATAAATGGATAATCGCAGATGTAGTGTTTGTAAATTGGATAGCTTGCTTAAGCTGTGAATAACGGACTCATCAATTTCAACATCAGAAGAGTCGAGAGAGAGATGTGTAAGCCTTGTGAATGTGACAAAGTAGTTATCCGGGAGGCAAATATGATCAGTGAAGTAGAGATAGAGGTGGGTGAGCTCACTGAATTGCATTATGGAATCTGTTAACTCCTTAACATTTTCCAAGTCCAAAAATCGAACCAACATGAGTAAATTTCTGTTATTAATAATCCATTGCGAAGGATCATCCTCCTTCAATCGGAGATAACCAGGAGGAGATATGATAGAGGGATTTTGAGCTGCATCATTTCTTATTTCTGCCATTGTAGGAGGGGGAGAGAAGAGATAAGCTTGATTATTACATAGTATAACTACCACGTCAACTAGAACAAACAAATTTGGAGTAAAACTGTAAAAGTAAAAGCATTGGCAATGTAAACTTACCTCCACCAAAAGGAATGGGCAATTCTCCTATCTCTGTTTTAAGTTCCTCCCAGGATTTGCGAACATGCCTATCTTTAACAGAAATGATGACCGAATGATTCAAGTCATATGGCAACGTTTCGAGTCTGAAATGTTCGGGCAACATTAGATGTCGGAGTTTGCGTAGCTTCGTGATGCTCCAAGGAAGACACTTGATTTTGGATGATTGAATATCAAGAAGACATAAATGGGCCAACCCATCCAAATTTGCCGGCAATTCAACCAGGGACTCACAGGAAAAGAGAGATAAAGATGTCAAATTGGATAGATTTGCAATGCTCAAAGGAAGTGACTTTATGTTCTTGCAATATTTAAGTTTGAGATGGGTAAGGCTCACCAACTGCCCTATATTTGCCGGCAATTCAACAAGGGAATCACAGGAAGAGAGAGTTAAATAAGTCAAATTGGATAGATTTACAATGCTATCAGGAAGGAACTTTATGTTCTCGCAATAATCAAGCTTGAGATGAGTAAGGCTCACCAACTGCCCTATATTTGCCGGCAATTCTTCCAAACAATAACACTTATAAAATTGCAAGTGCTCCAATTTGTGAAGCCTAGTGATGGTGTTAGACACACATTTCAGGGAATCACAGTACAAGAATTCCAGGCGGATGAGCTGTGTGAGCTCACCTATTGATTCTCCTACCTCTTCCTTTTCATAACAACGCAAGGCTAGACGAGAAGGAGGGTTATTTTTAATCCATGCCTCTGGATCCTCCCTCAATTCCAAGTGACCTTTAGAATCTACTTCTCCGCAAGTTATCATTTCCTTAGCTTCAACAAGAACACCAAAAACCACCTCTTTTAATTTTAATTTCAAACTACAGAAATATAAACTGGGAAATAAAGGAACAAAGAGAGAAGATAAATACTACTCAGTAGTTGCAGCTTTAAGATTCCATCAAAAATTATCACAACTATCAACTTCAACGTGAACCTCAACCGCAAATAATTAGTTGTGGTTAATAAGAAGAACTAATGACCACATAGATTTATAAATGCATCACAGCTTTTCTGGACCCCACTTAAGTAATTATGCCTTGAACCTGAGCCTCAATGAATTATTATGCATTGAACCTGAACCTCAAGTTATACTTCACTAAGTTAACAGTAACGGCCCATAGTCATACTATGTTGGTATGTTCCTTAAAAAAAAAAAAAAACAACTCTGTTGGTTTGTATATCTACTAGTTAAAAATAAAAAAAAGTATTCTAAATCTATTAGTCCAGATATTTATTTATTTATTTAAGAAAAATAAAGTAACAACAAGCATTTAATTTTATACGGAGTAGCTTATACTATATGAGTCAAAATATGTCAACTCTATCCAATTACACTCTGTTTCTCTACCTTTTTTTTTTTTTTTTTTTTTTTGTTTTTTCAAATTACAAGTGTCTTTTACCCACTTATAAAGCACATATCTAGGGATGTCAGTGGGGCGGGTCAAATAAGAGACCCGCGTTGGGGCGGGTCAAATAAGAGAGCTGCGTTGGGGCGGGGATGAATCTTGGTTTGGCGGGTGATGGGGCGGGGATGGAGATAAAAACCATACCCGCCATGGGTGATGAGGCGGGGTGGATTTTAGGTTTATCCGCCCCACCGTCCCACTTCGTACCCGCTCCATCCCCACCCACCCCACTTCGTACCCGCTCCATCTCCACCCACCCCACTTCGTACCCGCCCCATCCCCACATCCATATATTTTTAAAAAAAAAAATTATATACTTTTATACTATTTTATAAAAAAAATTATGTAAAATAAAATAGTAAATATAATACTTTGTAATACACTTATATTATAAAACAATAGAATGTGTAATATTAATAATAATTTTTTTCTTTTTGCAATCTTTATTAATTATGAAGGATTGTGTATTTGGGAGGCGGGGATTAGGCAGGTCTTAGGTGGGGATTAGGTGGGGGTGATTATTCAAGTGGGGGCGGGGATGGGGATGAATTTTAGACCCGTCGCGGGGATGGGGATGGGGATGGGGATGGATATGAAAATTTTAGATTGAGATGAGGATGGGAAGACTAAAATCCGCCCCACCCCGCCCTTGATTGGCGGACCCCTTCCGGACCCAGGAACTTCCGACTGGTGAGTCACAATCGATAACCAAATATGTAAAAAAAAAAATTTCTTACCAAGATCATCCAAATAGAAAATTGACAAGATTACAATACTAACTAATAATTAACAAGCTTAAAATTGACAAGACTAAAATTGACAAGCTAATAAACACCCTAAATAAACACTGACCACAATTCACATAATCACATGGTCAAAAAGGTTCAAATTTCATCAAAAAGACAAAAACCCAACAACATTAACAAAAGGTTCAAAGTTTACAAACAAACAACAACAAAATCAACTAAAGTTTCAAACTTTTACCAAAAAACTAACCAAAATCAACGAAATAGAGAGAAGAATCCAATCACTGTGTCTCGACAACCTCCAATTTCCCTTAAACTTATATCAAATAATTTAATAGAATTAACTAATTAGACTGAATTAAATTGAAGATTAGAATTTTAAACTAAAAATTAGAAATCAACTTACTAGCAAAATGAGAATAGGAGAGAGAGGAGGAAGCTTTCGATGATCACCGACAACCCAAATACCAATCAAGAGCAACAACACCATCAATGTGTGGAGGCAGTGGAGCCGGCGAGCCGCCTGTGTGCAGCAGCAGCAGTGAGCGAAGATGAAGAAGAGGAAGAGCAGGAGGAGGTGACCAGCACTGGAAGCAGTGGCGGAGGTCTGCTGATCTGGCCGTCTGGTGATTTGGTGAAGATGAAGCGAAGAGGAAGAGCAGGAGCAGGGCAGGGAACACAATTTCTCACCTGCAATCTTAGCTTTCTTCGTTCTACAACAAATAAACATTAAAAATAACATTAAAAAATTAAATCATGAAATTTTTACACATACGCAATTCAATTAGGAACAAATTACAAGTACCAGATCAAAATTAACAATCAAAAAGTTAAATTGGAAGACAAATAGAAGACCTGATGAACAAAATTGATGTTGGTTGAGAAAGAAAAGATGGGTAAAGGAGAAAAAGAAACAAGAGGATGATGAATTGAAGTGAGAGGCAAACTTTTCAAGAAAAGACTGAACTTTGTTCCTAACATCATCGTTATTATCATCATCAAATACTAGAATTTCACAATCAAGTGATAAGCCATAGTAAATATTCAATCAATTACAGACATTTGCTAGAAAACAGAAATTACCTTAAGCAATGGAGTGTATCAATAATTCGTGTAGCTCGGAGTGTAAATCTTCGAATTTTTTTTTTTTTTTAAGAAAAAAATTAGAATTTTTTTTGGGCTTGGTGACTCATTTGACCCACCAGGCACAAGGCCAATTCCGCCACTAGGCTACAAATATCTAAACATCTATAAATTTTGAATCACACGTCGAAACTAATTTAAGAATATCTCACACGTATTTAGTTTCCCTCTTCATTACAACATTCCAAACAAAAACAGCTCAAAGAAACGGAGTTATATCATTTATATTCACTATCCTACAAATAATAAATGTAAGTCAATGAGTCAATATTATTCGGCACAATTTTTCAGCAAATCCATAGTATAACTGTCTCTTTAGAGCAAGATTATTGGAGAGGATATATGTCCTCTTGTGTGGGTTTTTTTGCTGATTTGGAGTAGTCCTCTTTGATGTTGGGTAATGTAGAGGATCCTCAAGGAGAAGAGGATTACCTTGTCCTTTGTGCCAAGAGGATGAAGTGTCAACTTTTATTTGTTTATTTGTTACATAATTTTATAAACTCAAAAAAAATTTATAACGGTAATTAATCACAAACGGTAACATATTTTTAAAAACTAATTTTACCAACGGTTGTATTTTTATTTTCTCTATAAAATGAACCTAATTTTGGCCATCTTTTATACACTTCAATTTTGCATCTTTTTCACTCTTCCTCTCTTTCCTCTCTTTTTATAATTTTCTTTTGTAATGGATGAAAATAATCATAGTTATGGAAGAAATATGAATTTGGCAGAATATTTATGGGCAAGATTTGAGCATACTAGTAATCGGTAAGGAAAAAAGAGGATAATTAGTTATTTGTCTTTAATTTCTTGTATTTGTTGTACTTTAGTGTATCAATTAGTGTTTTTATTCCTAATTTGATGTGTTACTGTATCAAATATATTAGGTAAGGTAATTTTTATTATGTATGCTAATTATCGAATCCTAATTATTATTATTATTATCATTATTAGACCTTATCATTATAGAAATCAATAAAAAATAATCTTTTACAAAGAAAAATTTGAAGGTGGGGCCATATTTATAGTATAAAATATATCAGAGGATACCTTTGATGTGGGAAAAATAAATGGAAGAGGATGGAAGAGAGGAAAGAGATAGTGGGAAATAAGGTGGATGAAAGAGAGTATGAGGTGTCAAAATAGGGTAAGGAGAGAGAATGTTTGAGAGGACAAAACCATCCTCACCAATATATATGCTCTTAGTAAAGATTAGATGATTTAAGACTATAATACCCTGATCCAGAAGATGAAAGCAGCAAAAACTTAAACCAAACAAAAACCATGAACTTTCAACATCAAGTAACCCAAAAATCATGCAAATTCTACCTATCATAATAAACATGTATACATACCAGTAATTTGGTTAGGGTAGTTGGACATCACAGTAGTAACTCACTACTTACACACCTGTAAAAGCATTGGTATGAAAACCCACCATTAATTCCCTCTGCCAGCTCTGTTTTATTCATCAGCCCTCTAAATTGTCAGTGTCTCCATTAAAATTTACAGCCCTCTTTCTTCAGCTTCCTACCTATCAACTCCAAAAACATAATAAATGCAACTTTAAATCAATAAATAAGCTTTCTTTGAACTTTCTTTCTCACCTTCTATAAATACATAAAACAAGCTGCATGTTACATTGCATCCAGTTCTAACATACAAAAATTATATATATAACGAGAGTAAGAGTTTATAATTTATGCTACATTGACTTGGGAATGGTATACAAAAATGATTAATGTACCTGTTGAAGCTAATTGTCTTCAAAAACCAACATTCTTGGTTTTAATCCTTGTTTTAGGATTGTTTCCTTGTTATATTCATTGATTCTCCTTTGAATTATATGCATTGTCGTGCCCGGGTGTCGAGTTTGTAGTCCGGGATGCTGTAAGATGAGCTGCTTCTACTGATCCGACTGTCCCGGGGAAACTTTTACGCTTGCTCTTCCATGACTGCTCCGTCAACGTGAGTTTCCGTCTCTTGTATCTATCCATCCCTCTATCCATCTATCTGTACATTATACTAAAGTGGCGGCAGCTTCCTAAGAAGAGCCATTTAATAGATGCTAGATAATTAAATGCTATATTATAGCTATGTTCTTGCAGGATTGTGATGCATCAGTGCTAGTAGAAGGGGATGGAACTGAGAAAGCAGATCCTGCAAATAAATCTCTAGGAGGATTTGAAGTAATAGAGACGGCTAAAAGAGAGCTAGAATTGTTCTGCCCTGGAACTGTTTTCATGTGCTGATATTCTTGCACTGGCTGCTAGAGATGTTGTCATGGTACCATAAAACCTATCCTTCTTTCTCATGTTCGAGCATGCGCGCACACACACACACACTTTTTTCATTGTTGTTTACAAATGTTCTAATATAATAAAGATATCATGTTTTCAGAACAATCTAACAACACTGCTATCATTAGATGATCTTGAAAGATTTAAGGCATGCTCTAAGTTAGAGATGCGGGTCACTAGTACCGGATGTTTCTCTTCATCTTGATACTTTATTTTGAATGTGTTAACCTCGAGTTCTAGCTGGTTGGCCAACTCTTCCTTGAGCTGGTCAATACTGTAACTCAATGAGAAATCAAATCTAACTACATCATCTTTATAAGTGGCCTTCACTGTAAAGTTGCTTGAGTTATTTTCATTTTGTTGCAAAGCATCTGACTATGTACACTCATTTGCACCATCCAAATGCTCGTGGGCGCATTGAAAATGATCTATATCGCCTAGAGTTTCCATTAAGTTTCTCTCTGAGGGTTTCCATTGTGTCCAAGGTCAAGTTGCTAACAGTGTCGGGGGTGGATGATACATGATTTGGCAAAGTAAGCTGGTCTGCTCCCATTATACACTCCCCTACAGTTTCCGTGTGAGATGCTGAATTAGCAGGATTATTCGCCAAGTTCTGCTGCGATGAATCATTTCCAACTGGTTCTTTATTATTCTGTTTCCTCTTCTTTACATTCTGATGCTGCTTCCCTTTTCTGCTTGATTGCCACTTGAGTTTCAAAGCATTCAATCTTCGCTTCATTGTAGACCTTGAGACTACAAATTGTGGACAAGTACGACGAATCATATAAGCAAGACAATGAATCAAAACATAAACCATTTATATTTGACAACAACATCATAAATTAGATAAAGGAGAAATAGAAGACACAAGTACATAATGAGAAGTACTACGTATGTAATTAGCATTTACAATAATGTTACACTAATGGAAGGTGTTAATGGCATCAAAGCACATACGCGAGCTAAAAATCTACTGATTACCAAAAGAAACTCGAGCAGTTTTCTAAGAAATCATCAGGATGCAGATCTCACTCTCCAAGATTCTATTACTTTGTCTTTTTAAAATATGCTAATGACAATAAATTTTGTAAACCGAAAACTTCTCAATCATATTATTAGCATTTTCTTAAAAAGGAGTGGCAATAGTCTCTAGGAGTAAGAGTAGGCAGTTTCTAAAAACATCAAATAATAATAGAAAGGTAAATTATTAAGAAATGGAAATGTAGTTTTTAATTCTGTTGAAGTATCAGGTTGATTTGAGGTAGCTTCTTGGTTCATAGAAGTTACCAGAAGCAGCTTATGCCCGAGCACGCAACGAACTTACAGCAGTCACTTTAACAGAATGTAAGTTGTTGTAACAGTCTGCAGTTTTTATAACTTTCCTGAAATCCAGGGGTATTTTGCTGTACATAGAAATACCTGTATTAATCTCCATTCTTCTGTACATTCAAAGAATACAAGTCCCTGCATTCTTCTCCATACACTATGGAATTTTACTGAAGTTTTTCCAGCAAACTTAACAAATATAAAAAACAGATGATACAATGCAAGGTTTCATCAAACCGAAACTCTATTCTGAACATCTAAATTTACTAAGTGTATGCCCATGATATATATTATTGTACTATGCATATGATAAATCATCACTTATTGTTTTTATGATTTACTCTAGGAAAAAGCTCTTTATTATTACAGTTCCACGTTGCCTACAGCATTATTATTCCTTTTGATATATCAGTGGCCTGATTTACTGATTAAAAATGATATAATAGTTTTGACAGCAACTAACTTAATATTCATCAATGAGTGCACACTACACAATTTTAGCAAGAGTATATATTTGGAATTTGTATGTAAATGCATGGTCTCAGATATTAAAAAGTCTATTATAAACAAAATGCAAACATACTTCCAATTTTATTTGCAGCATCTTCCAGTGTCATGTTTTTGGACCAGAATGGTTGTAGTGTCTCTAAAGTAATTTCTTTTCCTTTCTTACCCTTCACGTTATTATTTTGAGGGATCTGACTCTGCTCGTTTTCTGAATCACGATGACTGTTATATCAGTTCAATTCCTAATTTTCTTCTCTCATAAACAATTCAGTTCAGTTCAGTTCTGCTCAGTTCAGTAAATCAGAACAGACCCTTAATCTAGGAATGTATGACAAAATGACGCGCAAACAAGTATAATTAATGTACATTTTCATTTGTTTTTTCTATTTTTAGCTCCTTATATGTAGCCCTTAGGGCTATGTATAGAATTTTCTAAAGCTGGGAACAGGCCGGGATGGCCCGCGTGCCGCCCGGCACGGCCCGCCGTTCGTCGCAGCCCGGCACGGCCCGATCCCCAGCCCGACCCGGCACGCCAGTCGAGATTCGTGCCACGGACAGTGTTCTGGAATTGCAGGCCCGGCCCGGCACGAGCACGGCCAGGGCCCGGCGTGCTGGCCCGCCGTGCTGACACGTCGGCCCGGCACGTGGCACGAAGACCAGGCACGGCATTCGTGCCGGCCCAGCACGGCCCGCGTGCCCACCTTGGTTTATAACGGTAATATTACCGTTTTTTGCACATAATTAGCCAAAAAACGGCTAGTTTTTGGCCATCTAGCTCCCCAAAAATTCTATAAATACCCACCTCCATTTCATTTCCAAATCACAAAATCACAATCTCTTCTTCTTATCTCTTAATCTCTTATATTCTCTAATAATCCTTTTTTCTAAAATTCTCTAATTATTCTCTAATTATTTTCCTAATATCGGAAAAAAATTAAAAAGTTCGTAATCGTAATTAGTGGAGCATTGAAGCACGGTTGTAAGATCTAAACTAATCATTAATTTATTATTTTTTTATTGTTATTATTAGAATAATCTTGTTTAATTATTATTGTTGTTAATTGTTATTATAATTGTTATAATTGTTGTTATTAGTTATTATTATTGTTACAATTATTGTTATTATTTTTTTATTGTTGTTATTGTTATTGTTATAATTGTTGTTATTAGTTATTATTATTGTTATTTTTATTGTTAAAATTGTTGTTATTAATTATTATTATTGTTAATCAGTTTTTTATTAAAAATCTAATTGTTAATTATGGCATCGAACAACCCATCATCATCTAGGGGGGGGGGAAAGGCCGACTTGGCCGTAGTAGTAGCTCTAGAGAACCACCTAATACAACGAGCCCCCAAATTCCGAGTCCAACCAATGACCCCGGTTACTCCCCCCCGGGCTATGAGCCATTTAGGCACGATGGTAGTTCCGGTTTTCAACCCTATTATATGTCGGGATTTCCACCACCACCACCAAACCAATTTTCACCATCAAACCAATTTCAAAATCCACAACAATTCCCACAATTCGGTCAATTCCCGCCTAATTATTTTGGTGATCAACAAAAACTATTATTCTAGCCAAAGTAGCCAAGAAAGTACCCAAATTCCCTCCGGTTCTACCCCTTCTGTTACTACTAACACAAACACACATCATGAATGGTTCAGCGAAAGTGAGATGGTACTTTTGAAAAACCGAAGGAGTGAGGTATGGCGTCATTTCGTCCTAAATAAACCCAACCAAACATATGCAAAATGTAAAACATGTAATGGTGTATTCACGGCACTATCCAAATCCGGGACGGGACACCTAACTAGACACATGAAAGCTTGTGCAAAACCAGCTATTGATCCGACCCAACCAAAAAATTTCCCAATACCATCCACACGGCTTCACCTACAACTATGAGAGGGATAGGGATGAACTAGGGAAAATGATAGTACACGCCGAACAACCTTTTCTTTTCTCGGAAAGTGACCCATTTAACACCTACATTAACAAAGCACTACAACCCCAACATAAAAGAATATCTAGGAAAACCGTTCGTTCCGCCGCCATGAAAAACTACCTAGAGTACAAATTGCGGTTACAAGCCGAATTGAGTAACCTTAACTGTAGAGTGTCTTTGACAGCCGATTCTTGGGATAATGGTTATAAATATCACTATTTATGTGTGACTTGCCATTGGGTAGATGATCAATGGTTGTTACAAAAAAGAATAATACATTTCAAAATGCTGGAATACCCACACACCGGCATTAACATTGCTCACCATTTAATGCAAGCAATAGACGAATACAACCTTCGAGATAAAATGATGTCTATGACTTTTGACAATGCAACCTCTATGACATACACAGCTAATCTTGTCAAACAAAACTTAACCGATGTAATATTAGACGGTGATGCTCTTCATACTAGATGTGTTTGCCATGTACTTAACTTATGTGTACAGGATGGAGTTCGGGCAATTGGCCCATACTACAACAAAATCAGAGATGCTATTATGTCTATTAATAGCTCAAACATGAGGTACCAAGAATGGAAGACTTTTCTAAGACAGCAAAAGATAAGGGCAATAAAAATCAAAACCGATTGCCCAACTAGGTGGAATTCCACCTATGACATGTTAACTAAGACAATTGAGTACAAGGGCCCGTTAACAATATTTTACAACCAAAAATTTCCACAAAATGCTTTATATGATGATGATTGGTATAACTGTGAAAGATATATGCAATTTTTACAGTTATTATATAACATGACGTATTGTTTTTCTTCTGTTTACAGTCCTTGTGCTCAAAACTTTCTTTCTAATGCATGTTTACTCGCCCAACTTTTCGCTGATCATCGCAACCAAAGTGATTATGATCAGTATCTTCCAGCAATGGAAACAAAGTGGCGTAAATATTATAGTGAAATTCCTTTGATTTATATTTTTGCTTCCATATTAGATCCTAGGCAAAAGTATGAAAACACATTTATGTTAGTTGACATTTATTTTCAATGCCTGAATCTTGACGATGATGTAGAAACGTATAAGAGTATTGTGAAGGATCAGTTTTTTGCTTTATATGGAGTCTATGAAAGCAAATATGGCACCGCTCCTCGCTCAGGGCCTTCCCAACCATCCAAAAACGTAAGTAAGAAGGCCAAACATTTATTTTCACAGGCTACTAACTTAATTTCAAGGTTTTCAGGTGATTCATCAATCAGGAGAACGCAAAGCGACGTCTCGGAGTTGCAGATGTACCTGAGTTATGACTTCACCAAAGGCATGGACGACGATGAGATTAACAGCCTCGACCTCCTTGCATGGTGGAAACAACAAAGCACGAAGCATCCAACTTTGGCGGCAATGGCACGAGACATTCTTGGTATCCAAGTCTCCTCTGTTGCCTCCGAATGAGCTTTCAGCGCATCCGGAAGGGTTCTGGACGATAAAATAACAAGTCTAAAACCCGAAATACTAGAAATGTGCGTGTGTTTCAAAGATTGGTTGGATGCGGAAAATCGCTCACAAGACCGTTCTTACGAGGACAACGACAACGATGAAGGAACCTCCGCTTCCGACCGTTCGGGTTCAGCTAGTTCCCAATCTATCCAACTAGCCGATGAAGCCGAAGCCGAAGCCGACGACGAAGACGAGCAAGAAGAAGAATAAACAATTTTTGTATATTGTACGATTTTAATCATTATCAATATTATCATTTTCCAATTTTTGTTTAATACCATCATTGTACGATTTTTATCATTGTACAATTTTCTCAACTCAAGTAATAATAATATGAAGTACGCATTATTCACATCCAAGCCCAATTTGCCTTTTTTCCCCGTTTTGTTATAATTTGTAAATTCATATTAAAAAAAATAAAATTATACCAATTACTAATACAAAATTATATTTAATAAATCATAAACATTAAATTTTAAAGTAATAGTATAGAGTAAATATATAAATATAAATATTGAATATATAAAATTATAAAACATAAATATTCAACTTATAATTATAAAACTTATAACCTTATAACTTATAAAAATTATAATTATAATTATAATTTTATAACTTATATACATTATAATATAAGTTATAATGTTGTCACTTTTTTTAAAAAAAAAAATTAAAAAAAAAAAAAAAGGTTGGAAACTGCCAGCCCGCTGCCGGCCCGCCAGGCTGGCACGTGGCCGGCACGGCACGAGCCCGCCAGGCATGAGGGCCGTGCCAGGCCGTGGGTTGGCCTGTGAGAATGGCCAGCACGGCACGACACGACTTCCTGGGCACGGCGGCACGATCGGCACGGCACGCCGGAGCACGTGCCCCGCGGCGGCCCGGCCCGGCACGATGCCCAGGTTTAGAATTTTCGAAAGAAAAATATTTCAGCAGGAAATTATTTAATCAGGAGAACTAATTTATAGTTGTGGTTTTCCTAGAAACTATATGCTCATGAAAACTAATGTTTTATTGAAAACAATCAACCGGGGCCTAAATAAACGGCCCATAGTCATACTCTTTGCTAGTCCAGAGCACAAATGTTAACTGACTTAAGCCAGTATAAGCACTAGTATTATTAAAGAACATAGTCAATAACAGACAATCTAGCAAACTTGGTTTCTAATGATTGCAACATTCGAAGCATACTTCAAATCTTCCACTAGTCAGCATCATCCATTCTAATGCTCTTCAGAACGTTGATTATCCATTAAGTTCTCCCTAACGTTTTCCACTCTTGTGTCCATGGTCAAGTTGCCAACAGCGTTGGAGTTGGATGATACATGATTTGGCAACATATGCCGGTCGCATCCAGTTATACCCTTCCCCACAATATCCGCGTGAGCAGTTGAATTAGAAGGATTCACCAAATTCTGATGTGTTGTGGAATCACTTCCAAATGGTGCTTTACTATCGTGTTTCCTCTTCTTTGCATCATCATCAAGATGTTGCTTCCTTTTTTTGCTTGATGGCCACACCAGCTTCAATTCTGTCAATCTTCGCTTCATTGTACACCTCGAGACTGCAAATTGTGGTCATTTAAGAAAGACCAAGAATCAAAACATAAACTATTTTTATTTAACTACAATTTGCTGAACAAATTCATGGAATTAAAAGCACATAACATAAATTTGTTCTAGGACCAAAATTTTTAATCATAAAGTAACATACCTCCAACTTGTTCTGCAGCTTCTTGGAATGTCATATTTTTGGACCAAAATGATTGAAGCGTCTCTAGTGAAATTTCTTTTCTTTTGTAACCCTTGATGTCATTTTGAAGGGTTTGGTTCTGCTCATGCTCATAATTTCCTTGTTCACTTTCCATAGTTGCAGAGTCACTTTGTATAGCAGGGATACTCTAACTTTCAGGATTTGAATGAAATATTGAATACGTACTGTACTAGTATATGAGAATTGAGAAGCAGCTACCAATTTATAAAAACTTTGAGCCTGAACCTACATTATTCTCCTATTTCTTCCCACCGCCCCCCCCCCAAAAAAAAAAAAAAAAAAAAAAAAAAGTGAGGTGGATAGGGATTGATGAACAACCCATAGAGATTATCAGATTAATAATGCAGCACAGCTATTCTGGACCCCACAATCAACCCTAGTTCACTAAGTTGTACGAAGTATATTGAACCTGAACCTTATTTTCTTAAAAAAAAAAAATAATGAAATAAAAACTAGTTGTATATTGAACCTGAACCTTGAAAAATAAAAAAAAAATAAAAAAAACTTGGACCTCACTAAATAATTACCCATTCACCCGACATTGACCCGGCAATCCTAACCCGATCCATGACCCGAAATTAACCCAAAAATGTTAACCCGAAATTGATCTTATACCCAAATTAACTCGATACCCAAAGCGACCCGAAACCCAAAGTGACGCAACCCGATCTTAACCCTACAGACTCAAAACACAAAACAACCAGAAATGACCTGACCCATAATTAACATCTTTGTGTGAGAATAACAAGACTCATTTTCCTCTACACTCTGATTCTCTAAGCTTGTACTTCGTAATATTTATTTTATCTCTCTATATTCATAAGATTTATACTTTTATGATATCTCCCATTTCATCACTCTCTAAATACATACGGTGGAAAATATTTTCCTTTAGAAAATAATGGAAATCTTATTTTCTTCCCTCCTTTTACTTCTCTCTTATTAATCCTCACATTACTATTCCTACTTTTAAGAAGGGAAAAAGTAACACGGAGTAACAACATTTAATTACATGAGTCAAAATATGTCAACTATAAGCAATAGTTTTACAGTATTAAACAACATAGTCAATAACAGACAATCTAACAAACTTGGTTCCCAATGATTCAGCAACATTCGAAGCATACTTCAAATCTTCCACACTAGTCAGCATCATCCACGCTTTATCTTCATCTTGATAAAACAATCTATATTTGTTCAAAGCAAGTTGGAACTTCATGCCTGTTTCTTCAATTAGTTGATTAATCGGTAAAGTCAAAGAGAATACAATTCTCACTGAATGCTCCTTGTAAGTGGCTTTTACAACAATAGTGCCTGAACTTTCAGTTGTATGAAGAGCGCCTTCTAGATGCCCTTGGACTTGTTGCTGGATATCCATATGGCTTCCAATTACCATTGGGTCGAAAGTTTCTTCTAGTGTTGCAGCGCGATTACTTTCAGTTGAATGAAGAGCACCCTCCAAATGCCCTTGAGCTTGTTGATGGGTATCCATATGGCTTTCAATTACCATTGGATCGAAAGTTTCTTCTAGTGTCGCAGCGCGATTACATTCAGTTGAATGAAGAGCGCCCTCCAAATGCCCTTGGTCATTTGCACCATCCAGATAATGCTCTTCGCCATGCTGACAATCCATATTGCCTTGAGTATCCATTAAGTTCCCTCTAACGTTTTCCACTATTGTGTCCGGGGCCAAGTTGCCAACAACATCAGAGTTGGATGATACATGATTTGGCAACGTAAGCTGGTTTGCTCCTATTATACGGCCCCCAACAATTTTCGCTTGAGCTGTTGAATTAGTAGGAATCACCAAATTCTGCTGTGTGGAATCACTACCAAATGGTGCTTTACTATTATGTTTCCTCTTCTTTGCATCATCAAGATGTTGCTTTCCTTTTTTGCTTGATGGCCACAACAGCTTCAATTCTTTCAATCTTCGCTTCATTGTAGACCTCGAGACTGCATATTGTGGTCAAGTATGATAAAGAAGCTCAAGCAGTTAATTTTTTTATGGTAATCATCGGGATGACAGGATGTCTATCTCAGTCTTAATGATAAATTAATTTTCAAAAACCATCCTTATAAAGTCATAACCACAAATTTAGTTATGGACCATTAACATTAATTAGGGAATATAGGTAAACAAATATTTTCACGAGTATAAATGTGACCACACTATTTATAAAAGTTCAAAGAGACAATTAACATCAATGAAGACAATTAAGTAAGCAAACATATATAATTAGAGGTTCGCACATTGTTAATAAGAGTTTGCTTGAAATTTTTAAAAGGCAGGGATCAAAATTTCACATAATGAACATCTAAAAATTTATCACAAAGTTCTTGTTCCATCACAAAAAATAAAAATATTCATGTACTGGTATTATTCAGTAGAGCAGTAAAGTTATTGAGTTACATCACGACAATTTTTTGTTCATAACAGACAAACATCTCTACAATACTTAGGTCAACTTTGGAGTGTTACACTTAAATCACTCAAATAAATGGAAGCACATTATTAAACAACATAGTCAATAACAGACAATCTAACAAACTTGGTTCCCAATGATTCAGCAACATTCGAAGCATACTTCAAATCTTCCACACTAGTCAGCATCATCCACTCTTTATCTTCATCTTGATAAAGCAATCTATATTTGTTCAACTCAAGTTGGAACTTCATGCCTATTTCTTCAATTAGTTGATTAATCGGTAAAGTCAAAGAGAAAACAATTCTCACTGAAAGCTCCTTGTAAGTGGCTTTTACAACAATTGTGCCTGAACTTTCAGTTGTATGAAGAGCGCCTTCCAGATGCCCTTGGACTTGTTGCTGGATATCCATATGGCTTTCAATTAAGGGCTCTTCCAAATGCAGGTCTGATCCCATTATACACTGCACATTTTCCGTGTGAGCTGCTGAACTACCTAGGTTCACCACATTCTGTTGTGAGCAATAACTTTCAAATGGTGCTGTATTGTTTGTTTTCCTCTTCTTTGCATCAGGCTGTTGTTTTCTTCCTTTTCTTGGCCACTTCTCGACACCCAATTCTTTTATTGTTCGTTTCAATGTAGACCTCGATACTGCAAATTGAAGTCAAGTATGATTAATCATTTAGAAAAGCCAAGTATGATACTGCAAATTGAAGTCAAGTATGATAAAGAAGCTCAAGCAGTTAATTTTTTTATGGAAATCATCGGGATGACAGGATGTCTATCTCAGTCTTAATGATAAATTAATTTTCAAAAACCATCCTTATAAAGTCATAACCACAAATTTAGTTATGGACCATTAACATTAATTAGGGAATATAGGTAAACAAATATTTTCACGAGTATAAATGTGACCACACTATTTATAAAAGTTCAAAGAGACAATTAACATCAATGAAGACAATTAAGTAAGCAAACATATATAATTAGAGGTTCGCACATTGTAAATAAGAGTTTGCTTGAAATTATTAAAAGGCAGGGATCAAAATTTCACATGAACATCTAAATTTGCTTAGTTTCCATTTTTATCAACCAAAAAAAAAAAAATTGTGTAGTGTCCATGATGTAAATTTATGTTACTCCGCACATGGCACAACATTACTCAATGTTTTAATAGTTTTGCTCTAGGAAAAAGTTCTCAATTGAAGTTTTGCATTGAATACAGCATTATTATTCCTTTTGAAATATCAGTGGCATCAATAGAAATTAAAACTTCAATGAATAAACAGATTTTGGCAAGAGTATGTAAATGCAGGTCTCAGATAATTAACAATTCTAATACAAACAAAATGCGATCATGATACCTCCAAATATTTTTTCTGCAGTTTCTTGTAGTGACATCGGGTTTTCGGACCAACATTGTTGTAGCTTCTCTTCAGATATTTCAATTCTACTATTTCTCTCCACCTTATTGTGTTGAGGGACCTGTTTCTGCCCATTTTCTAAATCATGATGACTGTTCTCACCATTATCTTGCTCAATACCACCTTGTGCTGTTGTTATGTGCTCAATAGAGCCCATACTTATACTGTTGAAAGGATCTGCTGATGTCTGCTCATCAGGGACAGTTTCATGAATTTCTACTGTTGGCATTTTGATACGAGAGTTATTCATATGTGTGAAGTATGCATCATCCGTGTCATCAATGATGATAAAAAAAATGCAAGTTATGACATATGAATTACTGGCAACATTTAATTACCTCTAGGAACAACAGTTACTTCATCTTCGCTTTCATCGGAGGCTGAGGCTTGGTAAAGGGAAGCATCATAGGCGTTGCTCTTGTAGTATGCTTCTTCTGTGTCATCGATGATGGACACTTGCTTCAGATTCCTTGGCAATCTTTCAAAGTTAAAACACTTGGGGAGGATTAAGTGTAGTAGATTGCGCAGCTTCACAAAACTAGGAGGAAGGGTCTTGATTCTGGTGACGCTGATATCAAGAGTATGCAAATTGACTAACTCATGTAGATTTGATGGTAGTTTTTCGAGGCTGATACAGTCTTTGAGTTGTAATTCTTGCAAGTTGTGGAGTCTTGCTATATCTTCAGGAAAGAACTCCATTTTAGAACATGTAATGGAGAGTGTCTCCAGGTTGACTAATTTATTCCAACATTTTTCAAAGATACATCTCAGGTCATTATAATCTTTGAAAAACAAAATTTCCAGGTGATGTAGGCCAATAGGAAGTGAGTCAAGTGACTCGAAGGAGCAATCCACAAGCCTGAGTTTGTGAATATACATACATGGTGGCAATGACTCGCAATAATCACAGGAATTGAGATCCAGACTCCTTAAGTTAGTTAACTTTTCCAAGCTATCATAAAGTGGCCTCATATTGCAAGATGATAAAGAGAGATGTTTGAGGCTGACAGGCATATTAAAATTTTCCAAGCTATCATAAATGGATAATCGCAGATGTAGTGTTTGTAAATTGGATAGCTTGCTTAAGCTGTGAATAACGGACTCATCAATTTCAACATCAGAAGAGTCGAGAGAGAGATGTGTAAGCCTTGTGAATGTGACAAAGTAGTTATCCGGGAGGCAAATATGATCAGTGAAGTAGAGATAGAGGTGGGTGAGCTCACTGAATTGCATTATGGAATCTGTTAACTCCTTAACATTTTCCAAGTCCAAAAATCGAACCAACATGAGTAAATTTCTGTTATTAATAATCCATTGCGAAGGATCATCCTCCTTCAATCGGAGATAACCAGGAGGAGATATGATAGAGGGATTTTGAGCTGCATCATTTCTTATTTCTGCCATTGTAGGAGGGGGAGAGAAGAGATAAGCTTGATTATTACATAGTATAACTACCACGTCAACTAGAACAAACAAATTTGGAGTAAAACTGTAAAAGTAAAAGCATTGGCAATGTAAACTTACCTCCACCAAAAGGAATGGGCAATTCTCCTATCTCTGTTTTAAGTTCCTCCCAGGATTTGCGAACATGCCTATCTTTAACAGAAATGATGACCGAATGATTCAAGTCATATGGCAACGTTTCGAGTCTGAAATGTTCGGGCAACATTAGATGTCGGAGTTTGCGTAGCTTCGTGATGCTCCAAGGAAGACACTTGATTTTGGATGATTGAATATCAAGAAGACATAAATGGGCCAACCCATCCAAATTTGCCGGCAATTCAACCAGGGACTCACAGGAAAAGAGAGATAAAGATGTCAAATTGGATAGATTTGCAATGCTCAAAGGAAGTGACTTTATGTTCTTGCAATATTTAAGTTTGAGATGGGTAAGGCTCACCAACTGCCCTATATTTGCCGGCAATTCAACAAGGGAATCACAGGAAGAGAGAGTTAAATAAGTCAAATTGGATAGATTTACAATGCTATCAGGAAGGAACTTTATGTTCTCGCAATAATCAAGCTTGAGATGAGTAAGGCTCACCAACTGCCCTATATTTGCCGGCAATTCTTCCAAACAATAACACTTATAAAATTGCAAGTGCTCCAATTTGTGAAGCCTAGTGATGGTGTTAGACACACATTTCAGGGAATCACAGTACAAGAATTCCAGGCGGATGAGCTGTGTGAGCTCACCTATTGATTCTCCTACCTCTTCCTTTTCATAACAACGCAAGGCTAGACGAGAAGGAGGGTTATTTTTAATCCATGCCTCTGGATCCTCCCTCAATTCCAAGTGACCTTTAGAATCTACTTCTCCGCAAGTTATCATTTCCTTAGCTTCAACAAGAACACCAAAAACCACCTCTTTTAATTTTAATTTCAAACTACAGAAATATAAACTGGGAAATAAAGGAACAAAGAGAGAAGATAAATACTACTCAGTAGTTGCAGCTTTAAGATTCCATCAAGAAATTATCACAACTATCAACTTCAACGTGAACCTCAACCGCAAATAATTAGTTGTGGTTAATAAGAAGAACTAATGACCACATAGATTTATAAATGCATCACAGCTTTTCTGGACCCCACTTAAGTAATTATGCCTTGAACCTGAGCCTCAATGAATTATTATGCATTGAACCTGAACCTCAAGTTATACTTCACTAAGTTAACAGTAACGGCCCATAGTCATACTATGTTGGTATGTTCCTTAAAAAAAAAAAAAAACAACTCTGTTGGTTTGTATATCTACTAGTTAAAAATAAAAAAAAGTATTCTAAATCTATTAGTCCAGATATTTATTTATTTATTTAAGAAAAATAAAGTAACAACAAGCATTTAATTTTATACGGAGTAGCTTATACTATATGAGTCAAAATATGTCAACTCTATCCAATTACACTCTGTTTCTCTACCTTTTTTTTTTTTTTTTTTTTTTTGTTTTTTCAAATTACAAGTGTCTTTTACCCACTTATAAAGCACATATCTAGGGATGTCAGTGGGGCGGGTCAAATAAGAGACCCGCGTTGGGGCGGGTCAAATAAGAGAGCTGCGTTGGGGCGGGGATGAATCTTGGTTTGGCGGGTGATGGGGCGGGGATGGAGATAAAAACCATACCCGCCATGGGTGATGAGGCGGGGTGGATTTTAGGTTTATCCGCCCCACCCGTCCCACTTCGTACCCGCTCCATCCCCACCCACCCCACTTCGTACCCGCTCCATCTCCACCCACCCCACTTCGTACCCGCCCCATCCCCACATCCATATATTTTTAAAAACAAAATTATATACTTTTATACTATTTTATAAAAAAAATTATGTAAAATAAAATAGTAAATATAATACTTTGTAATACACTTATATTATAAACAATAGAATGTGTAATATT